ATCTTGCTACTCTGCATTTGTTTGGAGAGACGTATTGATGTTCTGAGATTCCAGTTACATGCAACTGAACTGTTTCCCTCTATGCCAGCAAAACTACTAGCCTGCACTGAGTATTTGCTAGACAAACATGCTTACGTTCAGTTCAGGAGCAGTCACTGAATGTCATAGCATCACCAGCTTGCTCCATGTAAGTTATTGTCCATTTAGGCCACCTACTTCCTTTTTTTTTCTTTTTTCCTTGTTCCTTTCCTTTTTCTCTGCTCACTGGAATTGTATTAGTGTCTGGCTTCGAGTTTGGAGGATGAAGGAGTTGATCACATGTCTGATTCACAGTGCAGAGACTTTCTTCAGTGGGAGGTCAGGGCTACCCTTTGAGGAATGGAGTGTAGACTTTGGGCTTCTCAGCAAAGAAGAGGCTGAATATCTCGGACAACTGGAAAAATTAGAAGTCTAAGTCACAAATCAATATTCCATCTGATTTTGGTCTCCTAAGACTCTTTGAAAATGAGAAAGAAAGAGTTTCCACACAGTCCAATACAGCAGCCATACAACAACCAGACGTTCCTCTGTTGCTTAATACTCTTGAGTGTTAAGAAATCGTGAGTGTTCAGAGCCACTTTTTTTCCCCTTTCCTTCAAACCATGTGAAGCACCCATAAAACCCAAACTTGCAATTCAAGCTGTCCTGAAGGAAAGTGAAGTCCTTGGTAGGAAGAAGAGGGGGGTGCTGGAGCTTTTCTCTGCCAGCTTGCTGATGGCTGGCTCCAGCAGCAGTAGCTGGGTCGGAATTAGAGCATTGCAGTTCTTCCACTTCCATTTACAAAGGAAAACGATTAGGTATGCATATGCAATTTTTCCTGTCTTCAAAAGCAAGAGGAAGGAAGACAGAAGACCCAGGATGGAGCTGTAGTTTGATGGGCAGCGTGACATGCTTCATGTGGCATCAGGCTGGCTTCCAGGGTGAAGAAGGACCAGCTGCAGAGCTCATTGCTTGGTGGGAAGGGAAAAGCAGTCTTCTTGAATTCACACATCCTCTGAAGGTATTCAACTTGCTGTGGAAGTAAGTGGTCAAGGGAAAAACAGCAGCGCAGATATCTGGACCTGAAATTCATGAACATTGAAGGAATACATATGGAATAAAATGCGTTAACTCTGCACACACTATGAGAAGACTTGATAATACCTGGAAGGAACTGGAAAGTATTATTTAACAGGAAGACATTGGACAGAAGTGTTTACTGAAATACAGCTGAACGGCTTGTGTGACTAAAATGCTGACGTGACTGGATAATGTGCCAAGGAGAAAGTGGCATTTGATTTTCAAGCAAAGGGAGCAGGGTTTACTACTCTTGAGAACGGATGTTTTAGCCAACAAGGAACAAACGGACACAGTGCCTACTGTTGACCACCAAATTAGAATAGAAAATATTTTTGCACAGCAGATAAAGGATGTGTGCAGTATTAAAGGATGTCTTCCACAGGGATGCACTGTACTGATTTTATGGTAGTGAGATGTTCTGGGGATTTCTAGGGAAAGGAAAAATAAAGAGGAGCTGGCTGGGGAGGAGGCTGTGTCTGAGATAATTTTTCAAAAAAGTCTGGTGCAATTCTCTGCTAGGCCTCTCATCTAAAAGGAGGCACTACCTGCGTCTGCTAGGCGTAAAGGAGAAATTCCTGAGTGCTGCTGGCAGGAAAGAAGAGGATTTGCAGAAGATAACTATGTATATATCTTATTGAAACCTTATATGCATCTTGTATGAAAAGCTTTGATAGGATCTCAGAGGAAGTCTTTAAAAGCATCAGAAAAGATGTTCTTTATTAAAGCTAAACAGCATCAGTGCACCTACATTGCAGTGTTGTCTATAATTACTTGATCATGAACTATTTCTTGCATTTTTATTTTTTTTCCTTTTTACAAAAGATGTTGAAACTCTTTTCCATGCCTTGCTGAGTACAGAGGAAGGATTTAGAAAGGCTTATTTAGCTTAATCCTCATTGTTCAATATATGGCTTTATTTATTTCCCCACATTAAGTCCCCAGCCTGAAAAAAAGGTTATTTTCATAGCTTTTCTTAACATGGAGCTTGAATGCTTCAGTGTCTCAGTGTTTCCCAAGCCTTTATTACTCCGTCTTCACACCATGAAGCAAAAGCATCTCTGCTTTCCTCACAGAGAAGACTGCAACAAAGGCATTACAATCAAAATTGCAAGATTGTTCAATAGACCAAATCTGAAGTACAGCTTTGGTTAGGTTAAATGGCAGCCAGCAATGCTCCAGATCTTTACAGTTTGGGCACAAGAGCTGGAACTCAGCTCTCACAGAATCATAGAGTTGTTTGAGTTGGAAGGCACCCCTAGAGGACATCTAGTCCAGCTCCCCTGCAGTAGACGGGGACACCTACAGCAGATGAGGGTGCTCAGAGCCCCATCCTGCCTCACCTGGAGTATCTCCTGGGATGGGGCTTCCATCAACTCTGAAGGAGTGATTTCACATGAAACAGCATTTGACAAACAGTCTTGGTACCTATTGCAGATGTAGGTGAGAATGACATTCATTTAGGATTGAAATGGTGATTAAAAATAATGTTATACAAAATCAGTGTGCCCTCTGTTCCTGATGGGATCCTAGGGAGATCTGTTCTTGGTGTAACAATGATCAATTTTCTGAAATAAAATAATGTACTGTAAGTTTGCAGGTGACAAACTGCAGGGCAGGCCACTTGTGTGAATGGAGAGCACACACTGCGATTTATTGCAAGGCATGATCAGGCACACAGGAGAAAAAAGCGGCTCACGTGCTCAGGCAAAAAGAATTGAAGATGTAATGTGGATGGCTCCACAGGGAGGCAGCCTCTTGGGACAGCCTTGCTGCTTTGCCTCCAGGGGTTTGCTATTGCAGTGTGCACACATTAGCGTATGTGTGTGAGGGAATATCAGCAATGCCAGGAGTACTTAATTTGATGAAAACATGAAAAGAATCACAGAATCACAGAATGGCTTAGGTTGAAAGAACCTCAAAGATCATCCAGTTCCAGTCTCCTGCTGTGGGCAGGGCTGCCCCCTACCAGCTCAGTTGCCCAGGGCCCCATCCAACCTTGCCTTCAGTGCCTCCAAGAATGGGGCACCGCAGCTTCTCTGGGCAGCCTCACCAAAGGCTGGCAACCTGCGTGAGACAAATTTGTACTGAATCTGATTCACATCTTAGCAAATGACAGAATTAATTTATCAAGAGAGGTGATGGCCTCTTCTTTACAGATGTCTTTAGGTCAGCACTGTTAGATGTCATTCCACAGGAAGGGCTGCAAAGAAACAGGAGTTATGGGGTGACAGGTTAAGGGCTTTTGGCTCAAGGTCTTGTCATTATGATCTTAGAATTTATTAATCTATAAAGATTCTTCCCAATTTATGGCACAGATGCCACCATTGTTTATGGGATATAATAGGTTGGCCTTCATAGAATCATAAAGGTTGGAAAAGACCACTAAGATCATGTATTCCAACCACCAACCCATGCCCACTGACCACATCCCTCAGTGCCAAATCCACACGGTTCCTGTATGCCTCCAGGGACAGTGACTCCACCATCTCCCTGGGGTGCAGGAGAAAAGGAGAGAAGAAATTTTTCCCTAAGATTCAACCTGAATCAACCCTTGGCACAACTTGAGGGCATTCCTCTTACCCTATTGCTGTTACCTGGGAGAAGAGGCCACCTCCCGCTCTTCCACAACCTCCCTTCAAGCAGTTGTAGAGAGCGGTAAGGTCTCCCCTGAGCCTTCTGTTCTCCTGACTAAACAATCCCATTTTCCTCAGCTGCCCCTCATCCCGGCTTTGCAGTGAGTGCGAATCTACAAAACCCGAGATGCCCCTGGCCGGGTTTGGCAGGGTTGCATGTTCCCCCAGCGGGACGCACACAGTGCCCGGCTCCACTCGCTGCGCAGGGGGTCCGCGATGGGAGGAAGGCACGGCGCGGTCACTACGCGCTGCCGGGCTGCGGGAATCCTGCGGAGAGAACAAACGATAACCCAGAAATAACCTGGTTTTGCAGAACGCCGCGCTCCTGTGCGCGAGCTGTGGAGTTGCCATGGCCCAGGCTCTGTGTGTGTGTGTGCGCTTGTGCGTGTGCGGTGGCGGAGGTGCCGAGCCGGCGTGGGCGCGTGTCTGCGTGCTGCACGGGAGCGGAGGCGGGGGGTGCGCGCTCCCCGCGTGCCTTGCACCGTCCCCCGGCCCTGCCCGGCATCGGAGCCGAAGGGCGACGAGTGCGGCACCTCCCTCCCCGCGGGAGTGCCCCGGCTCCAAGAATGCGACATTAAGGCGCTGCACCCCAGGACCGTACCGTTCCCCCCCTCCCCCGCTCCCCTCCTTCCCCCCCTCTTTTATTTTTTTTTATTGTATCGGAGCATCCTCTCTCTCCCTCTCTCTCCCTCTCTCTCTCTCTATATCCCTCTATATATATTTATTTCTTTTTGGAGGAGGAGAGGGAGGTGTTCAGTAAGGGCTTCTTCTCGCTCCCCATTTCCCTCCCCCCCCCTCTCCCCCAACCATGCTCCATCACTCGCGCCCGGGAGGTGCCGTTCCTCCCCGAGCGGAGCGCAGCGGGGAGGCAGAGGCAGGTCCCGCTCCCTGCTCCGCCGCCGGGAGAGGAGGGGAAGAGAGGAGGAGGAAAAGGAGGAGGGTACAGGGAGAGCGGGGTGGGGGGGGTGGGGGGGTTATTTATTTATTTATCGTTTCTGGTGGCTGCAGCTGGCAGACCTGGGAAGGAGTAGGCGCCATTGCCAGAAGGATTATTGCCAGGGGAGAAGAGAGAAAGGGGAGGGGGGCGGGGGGGGGGGTGGGGGAGAGAGAGGAGACCCCGAGGCTCCCTTGGAAGCGGGAGGCGTTGCTTTCCCTCCCGCCGCCGGGGGATGCGCCCGGGCTAAGCGGGGCTCGGCTCCCTCCCGCCGCTCCGTCCGCCCCCCCTCCCCAGTTCTTCTCCTCCTCCTCCTCCTCCCCCCATCCAGCAGCATGCATCCCTCTGCGCGGAGCCCGGCCGCCGCCACCTCCAGCCCTGCCATGCTGCTGCTGCTCCTGTGCCTGGGCTGGGTGCCGCCGGGCTGGGGCTGGTCGCGGGGCAGCTCCCGGGGGGCTGCCGGGTTGCCCCCCAACGCCACCACGCCGATCTCCATCATGGGCTTGATGCCGCTCAGCCAGTCCGAGGAGGACCAGAAGAGCAGGATCGGCCGGGGGGTGCTGCCCGCCGTGCAGCTGGCCATGGATCAGATCCGCAACGAGTCCCTGCTCAACCCCTATTTCCTGGACCTGCGCCTCTACGACACGGAGGTAGGGCTCGCCGGGGACGCGCCGCCGCCCAGTCCCGGGGCGCTGCGGGGCCGGGGCGCAAGGGCAGCGCGGACGCGGGGGCTGCGGCGCCGCCGGGAGACGCGCGGGGAGAGGCGGCGGAGGACACGGAGCCGCTCCGTAGGGGCTCTGCCCGCGGGGCCCGGACCCGCGGCGGCCGCTCGCCGCCTCCAGCAACAGATGCACGCCGGCCACTCCGTCTCCATCCGGATGCCTCCCCATCCTCGCGCCGGACGCGGGCTCCGGAGGCGGCCCGAGGCAAGCCGGTGGAGATCGGCGGAAAGAGTTAAATCTGCGGTACCGCTGCCCGTGGGATGGCTGAGGGCCGCCCGGCCCCGGCGCGGCCCGGTGCTGTTCGGGGTGCGGAAGGGTTGCGGGCGGGAGGCGGAGGCGTAGGGAAGTTGGTACCCGGCGCTCCAACGCGCTCCGTTCGGGTCGCAACTTCGCTAAACGGAGGGAGATGCCGGCTCGATGCGGAGCCCGCCCTCAAGGTGGCAGCCGCCCCGCGTGAATCGCGCCGCGCTCCGTTCCACGACAGCCCCCGGTGCGGCGCGGGGATGGATGCTGAGAGCCCCCGCTGCGCTGCGGGAGCCCCTCTCCGGCTAGAGAGCGGCGATACCGGGCTGTGCTGACTCAAGGTCGCCCCGGAAATCTCTCCATGTGGGGCGGCTGCCCTTCACCGACACGCATTTGTCGTGGCGTTGTTTCGGATGGCTTGGGGCGGTAGCGGTGAGGGTGTCGTTTGGGTGCTGTTGGGTGCAGAAGGCCGGGATGCTGCGCCAGGAGCAGCCCCGAGCTGCCGTTTGTCTCCTTAAAAATGAACCTTTGCGATCAGAATGAAAAGAATTCTGGGGGATTTTTGGAATGGCATTACCTGTTTCATAAAGTGTGGTCTTGGGGAGAAAAAAGATCACGGTTCTCCCAGTCCCGTGTTCATGATATTATTCCGTTTAAATCCACCCCTCAAATGGGATCGTTGCAAAATAATGAGTGCACAGGAAGTGGAGAAGCAGGAACCTTCCTTCTGCACACACATCCCAATCAATGAGGGGCTGCACCTGATTGCAATCAAAATATTTTACAGTTGTTTTACAGATTTGGGGTTCTGAGCAGGGTAGACAGCTTTAGGATGTACAGAGCAACTGAAGGAACTGCCTGATAGGCTCTGGAATGCGCACCGGTTCCTTAAAAATTGCATTTTTACTGTTTGGTACTCCAAGGATGTGAAGGATTGGGATTCTGCTGCCTGTGTGCTGTGTGGCTATGGATGCTTTTAAGCAATTAATAAATGGATGGCTATGGAATGCTAAATCAGGCAAATCTATGTATTTGGAGAGCGGTCAGGTCGTTATTGCACGCTTAATAGTGACAAGTAAACAAATGAGTGTTCATAAGGAGCATCGCAATGGAACAGGAACATTAACTGGAACAGCCTTTAAATGCGTAATGGTAGCACAAACTTTTTCGTTGTGCTCAGCCATTACCTTTTGTCTTATGATAAGCAGAAGGGTTGCTCCCTCCTGCTGCTCGCTCGGTGCTCAGCCTGTTCTCAGACTGCTGATAGATGGATGCACCCGGAGGGCCCGGATCCTTGTCCTTATGTAACCACAAACCTGCTCCTCTCCAAGACCTCGCGGGTGCCTTGACTCTGGCTGCTCTTGGAGAGAGAATGTGGGACCCTGAGCACCTGGGGTTTTTGTACAGCCAGAGAAATGTTTGTTGTGTAGATGTAGAGCCTGGGAAATGCATGACAGTGATTTAGGAAATGCATGGCAGTGATTCAGAAACTCCCTTGTGGAGTTCCAAAATCACCCGCTGTTACGAACTGATGTTTGTGTTGCAGCTTTACGTAACACTTCAATAAAAATCTCATGAAAAATAATCATGAAAGTATTATAAAGACAAACAAATCAGATCTCTTTTCATTATTGAGGCGGCTTCCCGGGGAAGTTGAACTACATAATGTTTGCTTGATGTTTCTGTACAGTGGAACATGGGAGTGTCCATATTACTGACCACCACTGGAATTGCAGTGGGTTTCCCAACTTGGGCTGCTCTCTGTGTCTAACCCTTGAGCACTGCAGTGGCATTCCTAGTGCTTATCAACACAGTTAAGCTGATGAAGCTCAGAGTTCACTGTAGTCCTTAATCTGTTATCTCAAGCAGCTATGATTCTGTGAATGATATCTTCAGTGCAAAATAAAACCACAGGTTACAGCAAGTATATATGCAAACATGGAGGCTTCTGACTTGAGTACTGTTGATGGTTGAATATGTCTGGAGCATGACCCCGATGCAGTTCAGTGAGCCCTGCTTTGCTGGCCCGTGGGCACGGCTTTATTTGCTCAGACATTCCTGTCCAGGTTTGGTGAATATAATACAGCTCAGGTGGAGATGTTTGCAGAACTCTGGTATAAGTTGTGGTGAATTCAGGTAGTCCCGCCCATCTCAGGGAGAGCAGGAGCAAAGCTGAGATGAAACTCTTAGACAAAGTGTCATAATTAGGTTATTTTAGAAACAAGAGTGATTATCTGTAAGGAGTCTTATCCAAGCCTATTGAAATTAATGGCAGTAATTCACTGATTCCAGCAGCCCTTGGACAGGGTCCTGGAAGTTAAGGGCGCTTGATAGTTTATGGCTTTGGATCAATACTGTGATACAGTATTTCTTCTTTTTCCAAACCCTGTGATTGTAACTATAGTTTGCTGAAAATGCAAAGAAATTTCTTGCAGAATAGTGAGCTCGGCTCTCCAAAAGCTACACACAGTTCTCAACTTCATTTAAATCGGGAAGGATGTTATCTACATTAGCATCCTGGCACACATCTGTTGGAGGGAAAAAAGCAGAATAATCCTAAAATAAGGAGCTAAGCCTTCTAATAGAGAATGTTATGCATTTCAATAGTATTTAATTTGCATCATGCAAAAACTAACCTCGCTGAAACTAGAGGAAGAGGCACAGTGGGAGAAGACAAGGGCCTTAATGGAAGTTGGATATCTGCCCTTCTGCATCTGGACATTTTCCCTTGAATATGGAATATATTTTCTGATTTCTTGTAGGATCAGTGCTGCAGGTGTTGCAGAGAGAGGATGATTTTATTTTGAATCTAAACATTTATAGCCAGGAAAGTCGTGTCTGCAGGTTAGGATGCTGTCACTTGTTTTTGGAGAGCAAAGGGAGTCTAAACGATCTGAAAAACACCTTCCAGAACTAAGGGGGATATATTATCACAAAGAAAGAAGAAAATTCATACTACGGTGGTGAGATTATTTAATTTCCTCTAATAACTACAAATAAATTGTAGTAATCCTGATGTAATCTCGTCTTTACATAACAACATACTCTAATACCTTTAAAGAGCATAGAGGGTAGGCTATGACGCATACACAGAACTCCACAAAAACCTTTTAAGGAAAATGGAAACTTCTTGATATTTAATACATATTTGCCTTCTATTCTATAATTAAGGAGAAACTGCCTCACCTAATTTATCTGACAAGAAGTTATAATGTAGATATGTCATAAAAAGGCCTTCCCTTTATTTTCCTTTTACTATGAAAATCTCTGTGTTTTTCAGCAAGACCTTCTTTCTTCAAGGTTTAAAAAAAGTTGTATAGGCTGTGCATCAGTCTGGGTCATTTCTACCAGCTATTCTATGTCGAAAGAGAAGTTCAGCCTCCAAGTAAAGCTGTCTTTTGCAGAAAAGCCCACTCAGGACTGCTGTCAACAAAGTTGACTCATGTCTTGTTCCTGCATGCTGGAGTAAGAGTCACACACACTTATTAAGGACAGGCAACATAGTCTAGGAGCAGGAGAGGTATTTTCTGGCAGTGGAGCAAAATAAGGGATCCATGAGGAGCATGAAGTACAGAGTCCAATGGCTGGGTCTCAGAGGACTGCCAGCTTTTGGTTGCCACCTGAGCAGCTCTTCCCTCACAGAATCGAGTGAGAGCATCCCCCTGAGAGAACTGCACACAGTGTGCTGGTTAGGCTGGCTGTCTCAGGAGGCGCAGGCTGGAGTCACTCTCATAGCAGCTGGATTTGTGTGGGAAGTGTGGTAAATCAGGATCTGGGGTGAGCCTGACACACTCTGTACATGGATGATGTACCCCGAGATGAAACTTGAACTCCATCAGGACCCTCCAGCACACGTGGGTGAGCCTGCCTCCAACCTCCAGCTCCTCTGGGGTCAGCCTACCCTTCTGTCTGCAGCCAGGGCAAGCAGTTCCTCAGCACTACTGTTGGGAGGGCATGAAAGGGGCCCCAGATCCAAGCTGTGCAGTGGCACTTCAGCCTCCCCCCAGGACTTGAGCCTGCACGCAGGTGTAGCGGCAGAAGGTCTGTTTTAAGATAACAACATAAACACAGCCCGACTCCTTCACATCATTTGTGAGTGTTCTGATTGCTGAATTTCCTGGAGCTTTATTTTCATTTTTAAGGCAGAACTTGAAATAGGACAGGTGAGGTGCTGTCCTAGTCGTCTGTTCTAAGGGGAGCAGCCAGCTGAATACCAAAAATATGCTAAAAGTCAGACCGAACAGACAGACTCTGGTATTATCGTGAACTTGTGTCTGGCATATGTTGAAGTTGATGGATAATTTCTTACTTTCAAATATCACTGAGTACTTAATGCTTTCTGATATATGCAGATAGTTTAGACTGATGATATGCATGCCACGCTATACAGGTAATGATCACAGGCTACTCTGCTGGCAGCATTCCGCCTGGAATGGATGTATTTGTTAAAGCCATCGATGTTCCCTTTGACTTTCATTCAATATGGTTCCACTTAAGGCATATAACCTCTTTTTGCATTTGAGTTTTGTAAACTTGGAAGGAGTCATCTAAAAGTTAAGCATTTATGTTAATTCCATGCTAGTTTTTCCACTGATGCTAAGATGTAGGTGGGGAGAGGAGAGAAATCATGTATTCACAGCACCCACTCTTCTGGGTGTGGATCTCAGACCTGCAGAATGTATATC